TCCCGCTCTGGTCAAATTGAAATAAACAGATGAATAAATAATAAATAAAAAGTTAAATAAAATAATAAAAAAAAAAGAAAAAGAAAATCACACTGGGCATGTACGAATGCATGCCTGCCTGCCCAGGAGGAGCATGGAAGAGAAGGGATTACAGCGTGGCCAATCCCCCTGGGGTGTGATTTGTCACTTTCCCTTTCACAGTCTCTGTCTCTCCCCAGCAAATGCAAATGCACCTTATGGCAAAAATCTTTTAATAATTATTTATTTAATTTTATTTATTCATTCCTTCTACTTGACCAGAGAAAGAGAGACACAAAGAGAAGTGAGAAAGCAAGCCACCAGGTCCAGGACTAGAACTGTGATTGGCCGTGTGGGTATGTCCAGTGCCTTAACCACCATGCCACTTGCCCCCCTCCCCCTCCCCTGCCCTGGCAAAAACCTTAAAAAAAAAAAAAGAGAGAGAGAGATTTCTGGACCAGCCAGGTGGTGTGGTAGTTAAAGCTGCTGGATCCCACATTGCTGACTAGTGTGGTTCGAGTCCTGGACACAGTGGTCAAAAAACATGCCGAGTGTGTGTGCATGCCCAAAATCCCAAGAAGAGAGTGGAGGAGATGAGATTATGGCATGGTCATCCACTTGGGGGTGATTTCTTGCTTTCCCTCTCTCTCTGTCTCTCTGGAGAATGCAGGTGCCCCATAGCAAATAAAAATTGTTTAAAAGTTTAAAAAACATAGACCTTTCTAAATTCCTTGGTCTACAGTGAAGTCCTCCTTTCCCTTCTACCTTATCCAAGGAACCTGAACATAAAGCAGCTTGCTGAAATTTAAGCCATGTATTCAACGTGTGATGATAGAGAGCTGATGGGAACAGCCATCTGGAGACAGACAAGCTTTCCAGGCCTACAAGACTTGTAATGGAGGTGCCAGCGCACCTAAAGAAAGAGGATTCTGGGCCAGGGGAGGCAATGACCAGCCGTGCAGGCAGAAAAGGATGTGGCGTAGAGGTGAACCATGACCGCGCTCTTGAAGCACATCCCAAGCTGCCCACCTGAGCAGTCTGGTCTGCCTGATATGTCGCGGTGGCCAGAACTTTCCTAGGAGTCATACCGTGAACTTTCCTTACTCTGACCGTGTAGCTTGCTCCATCTGAGCTGGTAGACAGGTTAATGTGAGCATCGATCCTGCTAGACGGCTGATTGTATCAGCACCTGCTGCTCTGCTTTCAGTACCATCTTGTGTGCTTTCCTAGCTTGGACCAGCATCGCTCTGTCTCATCAGCACCCAGGCACTCATGAGAGTGCTTATCTGAGCCCATAAAGATGCGGGCTGGGCCCAGCTTGGTGGCACAGTCTGCTGGGTACTGGACTGCAGTGCTGGAGGCTACACAGCGTACTGCACTTTGGACCCTGTGTCATCCCAAGCACACTGGGTATTGCACACAGGTGCCCAAGATCCTGAGGAGCTTGCAGGCTCGGAAAGGGGGTCATGATGGGAAGACGAGGTCCTGTTGAAGGTGCTTCTCTCACATGTACTTACCCTCTATCATGGAAAAAATAAAGATGAGGGCCAGATTTGGGGCAGTATTGAATTCAGCCCTGTAACTGCAGTCCATCCTTAGATATGTCTATATATTTTCTCTCTCCCTCTGTACACTCCCTCAGGCTTCCGTACCTGCACGTAGCATGTGCCTGACACCCTTAGTTATGAAAAGTCCTACCGTATACTGGGGGTCACCCTGCTTTGTTCTCTGGTGTGGCATCTGGCATCCTCCCTGGCTGTCTTGAGCTTCAGTGGGCCCTCTGTCAGGTTTTTGGGTTTTGTTTTACTTGTGCCAAAGGGCATGTGTGTTCTCAAGAGAAAAGGAGAAAGCATCCCCCCATGGGACCTGGCCACTCCACAATCCCTTCTCCATTTCTCCATCCCCTTGGTATTTGGGGTGCATCTGCACATGTGCCCAGAGTGTTTTTCCAGCTGCCTTAACCACTAGGCCATGGGCTAGCCCACATAGGCGGGAGTTGGAGAGCATCAGGTTTCATGCCCATCGCTGGGACGTATTTTGGGAGACACGACAGAAGCACAAGTCCTGCCCTCTGTACTTCCCGCGATTCCCTAGGTGAATGCCAGCATATGAGCAAGTGCTCAGCGCAGAGGTGCTTCTGTCTGAGACATGTTGAGGGCACCGTGCCAGGCCCCTCCACAGGTCGGAATGTGCTTACGCCAAACAGGCTGAAGCCAGAGGGGTGGTTCAGTGGCCCTGGGCAGACCAGGAATCACATGGTTAGGTCACTCCCTGTCTGGGTTGCTTTCTATCCTTCTGAGTCCAGGAGAAAGGCAGTTTCGGTGCAGGTCATGCCTTCCACACTTATGCTCGAGGGTGCTGAGCTCTAGCTTTTTGGAAGCACATGTTTCTAGCTGGGCTTTTGTGACGTTGTTTTGTTTCCCTTGTGCCAGAGTGGGCACAAGAAACCCCTTGGAACCTAGGCCCATCGGAGGTGTACTCAGACGGGAATCATAATGGTGCTGGAGCCAGACCGGTGACCTGAGTTGCCTTTGGAGCTGGGGGTGCAGACAGGGCACTAGACTGAGGAAGCTTCCTTCTGAGATGTTTGCGGTGATTTGAGTGTGAAGTAGCCTGCTCAGGTGGAGTGGACAGGGAAAGTCAGGAAGGGGTGTGAGGGGCGCGGAGGGCGCTGACGCCACACCTCCCTCACACCCTCACTCCCCCAGCTCTGACCTTGCAGTGCATAAGTTCCCCCTTGACCTGGTGGGATGGATGGCACCCACGGGTCCTGGAGTTTTTGTCTCTTAAGGCCACGGTTCTATACTGGATAGATGGTCCTTGACAATGTACAAAGCCAGGCATGGGGCCGAAAACCAGCTGATGTGCCGTCCAGTGGCTGGCTTGGCGTCTCTATGGCGAAAGGACGTGTCTCCTTCCTCTACAAGGAAGGAGTCGCAAAGCAGGCCCAGTGGCATCCTAGGCTTCCTAACTGCTGGAGTGTCAGGCTCTGGTTCTCCTCCTGGGGACCTGGGGAACTGTGCCTCCTCTTGCAGGTGACTGCACATCCTTTGTTGCCGGACTCCCCACCACGCCTAACAGGGTTTTCTGTTTTGTGTTGCAGACTCCTGCCATGTCTCGAAGGTGGTGGGAAGATGCCGGGCCTCCATCCCTAGGTGGTGGTACAACGTCACTGAAGGGTCCTGCCAGCAGTTTGTGTACGGGGGCTGTGACGGAAACAACAATAATTACCAGAGCAAGGAGGAGTGTCTTAAGAAATGTGCCGGTGTCACAGGTAAGACAGCAGTGGGATTCACTACTTAGAGGTGGTTTGTTAGTTGAGGTGTAGATGCCTTCTGTGCTTCACCGGTTTGTTACAGCCGGATCTGGGGGGTGTTTTAAGAAGCAGAGGAAACAGGTGCAGTGTGAAAGTTCCCATGGTCACGCATTGGTTTCAGTACAGTGTACCCTCCCATCTCCTCTTCCCAGAAAGGGGACACCATGTGTCCTGGCAGAGCTGGGGGAATAGGGGCGGAACTGCGCCTCTCCTGGCTTCCTTTTACTTCTGAGTGCAAATTCCACACCAGGCCAGGCGTAAAGAATGGCTTTCCCTGTTGAGCTGAGCTTCCCCTGCCCCGCCCCACCCTGACAAGGCTGGCCCTCCTGATTTCTGGGCACTGGGTTATTTTTACCACTAGGACAAGTGCCTAGAGTAGCTCACACAAGTTTAGAGGTCAAGTTAAAACGAATATGCATCCTGAAATCCTCCTCCCAGCGCTCACCAGCAAGGGAGGCTGTGGAATCAAGGTAATGACCACCCTGGCAGCCTCGCAGTTTAAATAAAAACCTGAAGCTCCCAACAGCATACACTGGCTCTGAATCAAGTTGTGAGGGACCCTTTAAGAGCTGGTGGCAGGACCAGCAGTAGGCATAATAGCTATGTCGCTAGACTCCCATAAGTGGATTACGGTTCAAGTCCTGGACCCGGTGGCTTAAACTCATGCCAGGCACATGTGTGTGTGTGTGCCCAAGATCCCAAGAGGATAATGGAGGAGAAGGGATTGTGGTGTGGCCATCCTCCCCTGGGGGGTGATTTCTCACTTTCTGTCTCTCTGTCTATCTCCGTCTTTCTGGTGAGCACACACACCCTATAGCAAAAACCTCTCCCCCCCAAAAAAAAACACACCAAGAGCTGGTGGCATGGGGCCGGCAGGTGGCATGGTGGTTAAGGGCACCAGACTCCCACATGGCTGACCATGGTTTGAGTCCTGGACCTGGCAGTTTACTTTCTCACTCCCCACCCTCCCCCTGAGTCAAGTTAAAAATAAAGTTGGGAACCAGCAGTTAGCGTAATGGCTATGTCGCTGGACTCCCACATCGTCGACCACAGTTCGCGTCCTGGACCCGGTGGCTTAAAACTCACGCCGGGTGTGTGTGCGTGCATGCCCAAGATCCCGAGAGGAGAATGGAGGAGAAGGGATTGCGGCGTGGCCATCCCCCCTGGGGGGGTGACTTCTCGCTTTCTGTCTAATGTCTCGCTCTGTCTGGCGAGTGCACGTGCCCTATAGCAAAAATCTCTCGAAAGAAAGAAAGAAAGTTAAATAAAATAATTATGATTTTTTCTTTTTAAAAATAATTATCTGTTTGTTATTATTATATATTTTTAAAATTTGACCATAGAGAAAGAGAAAGGTAAAGTGAGAAAGCAAGCCACCAGGTCCGGGACTTGTACTGCATTCGGCCATGTGGGAGTCCAGCACCTTAGCCACTGCACCACCTCCTGGTCAAATTAAACAAACAAACAAAGTTCAATAAAATAATTCTTTAGAAAACAAACAAACAGAAAGAGCTGGTGTCCATGAAGTGTCGAGTGTCTGGAGACTGAAGGTTTGGCCTTCCACATCTCTTAAAGGTTCTCAGAGGCACTCCCCCAATATCCATGTGCGACCTTGTGCTTCTTTTCTTGGTACTGAGCGTTGGCACTGTGGCTCCAAATGATGAATCTGTAATGGGGTGCCCTGCTGCCCCCAGGGCAGCGCATTGTTGGCTGTAGGCCTGGCCTGTACCCTGCGTCCTTGTTGGCTTTTACAGTTTTCTGTCTCACTGTGGGCTGTCATCCCTCGGCTTTGAGCTACACATCCAGCAGTCATACACATTTATTGACGTGTGTAAATAGGGAGAAACAGCAGTAGCCTTGGCTGTGACTTGAGGTCTGATACACGGTACCCGAGACAATCCCAGCAGTGACCAGGAGCACCTGGAGGAGCATTTCCGTGAAGTCTGTGTGCCCAGAGCCTAGCAGCAGGAGCCAGCAAGGGTGGAGAGCGAGGTCCTAGGCATTGTATTTAGAGTCTGCAGGGGTAACCAGCAACCTCACCACATGTGACTCTGAGATGACTCTGTCGTATTTTTCCATCAGCTGTGATTCCAAGTGAGGGGTGGATTTAGAGGAAAATATTTTTTTGATACTTCTTTTGTCCTGTCCTATACAAAAGTTAATTATAGAGGACAAAAGCCCATTTGGGCCCTCCTTATCAGAGGAGTTGAAGTGTTGTTAACACAAGCAGTAGACGGGCATTAAGACAGGACATTGCTGCAAGGGGACATGGCTGTTGTGTTTTGCTGGAAGAAGGCAGGACTGCTCTCTCCATAGAGGTGGTCCAGAGGCTGGCCCTTGTCTCGAGGTCCCAGAATGCTCATTTGTTGGCATCTGATAATGGATCTGGGGTGTGTCTCCAGAGGCTCTCCTGTGAGTCTGTAAAGAGCTAAAAACTGCCAGAGCAGCTAGCGGCTGGAGTCCTATCCCAGCTCATCCTCTGCCAGGCAGGCAAGCTCTGCAGGAAGCCAAATGAGAATACCAGTTTATTAATTTATAGCAAGAACCAGAACCACCCAGGGGACCAGCCACTCGCATCTCTGTGCCTGCGCCTTGGGTGCATGTAGATGATCCTCTTAGCCAAGTTGCCAGAAGATTGCTTGATAGAGAAAGAGGAAGAACAAGGGGAGCTGGTTTATGAGGTGACTGTTTAATGGCATCAGGTTACACCAGGCCCCCCCACCTCCCCACCCCTGCATCCCAGAGACCAGTGCAAAGCAAGGGAGCCAGGCTTCCCTCCCTCCTGGCTGGCTCCACCCTCCCACCCCCTTAATTGTTAAGGGGAGTGGATAAAATTACATAGTGTGAAATTTACCACTTTAACTGTCTTAAGTGCATAGCTTAGTGGGTATTAAGTACATTTATACTGTTTTATGCCCTCTGGACTTTTTAATTCTTTAGATGAATTGATAAAGTTAAGTGGGTATTTGCCCCAGGAAGCCTTTGTTGTTTTTGAGAGATTTTGGGCTCAAGGAAAAGACAGGCAGACAGAAAGCAAAAAATCACCCCCAGGGGAAGGCCACACCTTAATCACTTCTCCATTTTCCTCTCGGGATCTTGGGCATGCACGCACACGCACCTGGCATGAGCGTTAAGCTTTCGGGCCCAGGACTCAAACCACAGTAGACTACATGGGAGTCCAGCTACATAACTGTTATGCCATTTGCTGGTCTCCAGCCTTTGTCTTTTTAAAGTCGCTTTGCACATCTTTGCTCTGATGCCCTACAAGTTGATCTTAAAGTTTAATCCTCAAAAGGCAGACTTGGTTCCTATTTCCAGAATGTGGTCGGCCTGTCACCTGCACATTCAGTGGAGGTGACACAAGAAGTGGGAGTTGCTATGAGATTCACAGGGGCCCTGTGTAGACCCCTGTGACTACTCAGATGTGGCTTGCTTTGTTTTCATTGGCCAGTCTAAGAGGTGTGCTTTCTCACTGTGGTGGTTTTCTCCTTGCAGAGAACGCCATCGGGGATCTGGCCACCAGCAG